CAGACAGCAGGGTCACTGGACTTGGCTGATGTCCTCCTTGGCCCCGATTCTCCCCCCAGGACCCCCTGGCTCCTTGGTGAACTGCGAGGTCTGTGCCCACATCCCTGGGGGGCACAGTGTCACTGGAGGGTGGACTTCCTGGGTGCTGTCTGCCCCGGGATGTACCCTGAACGTAGAGAGGGAGGACTGTGCTCTGCCCCTGGTCTCGGGGTCCCCGTGGGAAGCCTGGTCACTGGCATCCACCTCGAGGCCAACGCCCCCTGTCCCTCTGCACGTCCAACCTGGATGCTGACTTCCCTCGGCGAGAGCCCCAGGAAACGCCTGGAAACTGGGAATGGAGGAGATGGAGAGTGTAGGCCAACTGCCGGGACGGTTGACAGAGTCAACAATGACTCCACAAGTGTGTGCCGAGCCGCGCCCCCCCCCCCCCCCGAGAGCACTGCTCCTGCCAGGTTTCTGTACCCAAGTCACACTGGTTTCATAAAAGGAATTTGGAAGGCGTCCCTCTTTCTCTGTGCCCAGAAATATTTTAAATAGCAGCAGAGTTCTCATTTCCTCATCGCCTCGGTTGGCTTCCCTCCTGGGCCTGGTGATTTCCTCTGCTTTCCTGGGTGGGGTGGGGGGGGCACTGTGGAAGGAACCCAGGGCCACTTCAACCCCGGGCCACATGCCCAGCTCCTTTTATTCTGTATTTTCAGACCGGGTCTTGCTAAGTGGCTGAGGCTGGCCTCCGACTTGGGATCCTCCTGCCTCAGCCTCCTGAGTCGTGGGGATGACAGGCGTGGCCACCACGCCCAGCTTGGCTGTGGTACAGGCCTATAGGGTCCGGCGTTTCCAGCTTGGGCTTGTATAAATACAGCGACTACAAACATTCAGGTCCAAGTCCTGGGTCGACATGTTGTTTCTCCTCCTGGATAAACACTGAGAAGTGGGAAGACCAGGCCACGTGGTAGGCACGGCCTGTTTTCTCACGTGGCTGCGCCACTTCACGTTCTCATTAGCACAACAGAAACGCTCCAGCTGTGCGCGTGGTTGCAATTTGGTAACTTAGACCCAGTGGCAGAGCCCAGGTGCCCGGACCTCACTGCAGGGTCAGGGATGGGGTGGCAGATGGCAGGAGACCAGAAGAGACGCAGGGGCGGAGAGAAAGCCAGAGCTCGGAGGTGCACACTGGAGCTTGCGGTGAGCTGAGGACGCACTGGAGGCACCAGGCACCGCCAGAAGAGCCGCCCGGCGCAGCCCAGCCTGCTGCCGAGCCCTGGGCTGAGTAAGAAGTCGTTGAGTTAGGATTCCAGGTTGCCGAGCGACAGGTGATCAATACGGAAGGTCAGGTGCTTAGCCTGGTCATCAGAAGCCGATGAACAGGCCTGATGATGGTCACCGTCATGACAGTGTGGGCCACGCCCTGCTCAGACGTCCTGGTGGACACATAAGAAAAGGCTGTGTCCTGGCCTCTTCCCTAAAGAAGATCGTGATGTCAAGACAAGGTGACAACTGGGATCCTCCGGTGAACCCTCAGGCCCGTATTCATTCTTCAAAGTTGAGACCAGTTATGAAGACCTCAAGACTGGGGTCCTCCTGCCTCGGCCTCCCAAGTCACTAGAGTGTGGGTCCACATGAAGCCCCTGGCTGAGGAGAGGGGGTAAGAGGTATTTTGGAAAGACCACAGTGGGCAGGAAGGACCCGAGGAAGAGAGCTGGGAGGGGGTCTGGCCTGGTGCTCCAGGGAGGCAGCCATGCTGGCCTCCTGCTCACACCTTCCATAGCTGCTCATGGCTCTAGAATAAACTCCAGGGTCCTCCAGCTCCACTTGCCCTTCCCCCTCTTGAGCTGCTCCCCCCATTCTTACTCTGCTCCAGCCACACCTGCCTCCTTGGTTCCTCAAGCAGGCCCTGAGCCATCCTTCCCCAGGGCCTTTGCACATGCCCTGAGCCATCCTTCCCCAGGGCCTTTGCACATGCCCTGAGCCATCCTTCCCCAGGGCCTTTGCACATGCTGTCTTGCTTTCCCTCCCCTTCCATGTCACTGCGCTCACCCTTCAAATTTCTGGGGTTCTAATATCACTAAGTCATCCATCTACACCAGGTTACCTGTCATCCCTACTTAAAACCCCATGCGTTTCTCTATGCCCTGCTCAGCAACTCAGCAACGCTTATGATGCACTATGTATTTGGGCTGCCCTACAAGTGACACACTGAGACTTTCTCCCCACCCCCACCCCACTCCTTTCTTTTGTTCTGGGGATTGGACCCAGGACCAGGGGTGCTTTACAGCTGAGCCACATCCTCAGCCCTTTTTATTTTTTGAGACAGGGTCCCACTAAACTGCTGTGGCTGGCCTTGAACTTGACTCCTCCCAAGTCCCGGGGATCACAGGTGTGCGACACTGCACCTGGCACCTGGGTGACACTCGACAGTGCCTGACTGACGATGTGACGGACAGCCGTCCCCCACCTGTCTGTGGCTCCACCGGGGGTAGATCTGGGTCTGTCTTGCTCATCGCTCTGCCCCAGAGCCTGTCCAGGGCCTGTCCAGGGCCAGACTTGGAGGAAACACAAAACTGGACGTAGGCCCAGGAGAAGGGCCTCCGGGGACACACTATCCCGGACTAATCCAGAATCTCTGCTCCTGGGGGGGGGGGGCCACAGTCCCGAGAGCCCTCCCCTCAGGGGACAGCTCTGTCTCACCCCGGAAACGTGGCCGAGGACCCTGGCCCCGGCTTTACCGACAGAGGACACACAGAATCTGGTCAATAAAGAATCCACGCCCCTCGCCTGGTGGCTGAGCAGAGGTCCTGGGGGAGAGAACACGGATGTGGAACACGGAGTCCCCACCCCGAGGACAGGGAGTTCTCCACGGGGCTTTGGTGTCTATTTGAACAAGGAACCTCTCCTGAAGTCGCCCATAAACAAGTCTGTGAGCAGAAGCAAACAACCAACCCGGTAGGTCCTGGTGTTTGGGAGATCTTATCTGCGCAGCGGCAGGAGGACGCCAGACATCAGCAGGAATCAGCCAAGTCACTTCAGCCCCAAAGAGGACACAGCCCGCCATCTGCCCCCTTCAGCTCTCCCCAGAATCCCTCCTGTCACTCGGTGCTCCAGGGCTGCGTATGGTCACTCGTGAGCTTATCTGTCCCTCTGTCATGTGTCCCACAAGAGTGCGAGTCGCGTGAGGGCAAGGACAGATCCACTCACTCACCGTGTCCCACTCACGGCTGGTGCTTGGCACAGAGTCACCTCCATAAATTCTTTGATCCATTAAAGCAAAGGAGAGAGGTCGAGCCACAGGTGGGAGGGAGAAGCCCACCAGGCTGAGTGGGCTCCTGCGTACAGCACAGGAGAGCATCGGAGTGGACGGTCGACGAGACTCAGAGGTTCTGGATCAAGCCATTCCTGAAGTCCTCGCCTCCACTGGAATGTCCAGTCACGTGTGCCAGGGTAAGCCCTGGACCCGGGGCACAGGGTGAGGCTGAGCATGGGGCAAGGCTGTGGGCACAGGTTGGGCGTGTCTGTTGCACAATTTTTCAGTGGTCAGTGGCACAATGGGCTTAGTGACCAGATCACAGATGCTCCTCCTCCTCCTCCTCCCAGCAGCCGGGAGGCTCAGGGTCTCCGGGGACGGATTAAGCACCAGCCACCACAGAGGCCGCCAATTAGACACTTCAGGGATGACACCAAGTCTGGGTTCCGCTAGGGCCTCTCTCATCCACCGCCAAGTGCATTTCCTTTGAGGACAGCCCTGACCACATGCTAGCCAGGCCTCAGCGAGGTGTCCGGTGGGACTTTCCTTGAGTCTTGGCAGCGCTCAACCACATAGACCAGCCCAGGCCCCTCTGGGGACTCACACTGTCCTGAGTGTCCCCCTCAGGGATCTGGGCCTGTTCCTTCCTTCTGCTCCCAGATGATGGGTTTCAAGCCCTGGACTCTGGCGCTGTGCCTGCCTGTGTCCTGGGGACAGCACTACTGAGGCCTGCCTTCTGCTTCTCCTGGATGGGACACTCTGAGAGTGGGGTGTCCTGAGCAGCCCCCCTGCAAGAGAGGGCCAGGCCGGGGTCTCAGCCAGCAGGGAGGCTGGTCTTTCAAGAACTGGAGGGAACCGGGCTTGGTCTTCACTCTGCCCCCTCCCCACCTCCATCCCATGTGGCTCAGCAGGGGCCTCAGGTGCGGGGATCCAGTCTCACCCTTGCACGGGTTCTGCTCCTGCTAAGTCGCTGTGTGACCCAGGGCCTCCTGCTTGCCGTCTCTGGGCCTCAGACTTCTCACCCCTCTGTCCTTCCCACTTCTCTGAGCTGCCAATCTCCCAGTCCTTTGAGATCAGAAGTCCTCCGTCTTTTCAAAACACAAAGGACGAGAGCTGAGGACAGTCCTTCATGGCCCGCTCCTCCCCGACGAAGGCGCCTGGGTCTCTGTGACGCGGTGGATCGTCCCTCGCAGGCTGCAGGGGGACACACGCACAGCAGGCCGCAAAGAAAATCTGCAAACGAAGCCAACGATGCCAATACTCATGGCAGCGTCTGGCCTGAGCCTGCACCAGGTCCGGGCACTGGATGGGGTCACAGGTTTGCCAGCTGCCCGCATGCCACCGGGGGCCCTGTTCCCAGGGTCCTCCGTCCACAGAGGCCAGCTGTAATGGCCGCTCTGCTAAAGGTTGTGTGTGCGACCACAGCTCTGGGATGCAGGGACAGGGTCACCCAAACCTCAGCACGAGTGTCGCGACCCCTTGCCCGCAAGGAAGACGCAACTCAGGAATCTTCTTTCAGCAGTTTATTCAGGCCCTGGATATTTCTTCTTCTCTCCCTCGGATGCCCCTCCCAGCCTTAATAAAGCATCCCAAGCCCCAATGCAAAGCTGCCACGTGGAGCTTTCTCACAGGGTGGTGAAAAATCATGTGCCAACTTTCCCAGATAAGAAGTTGTTTGTCACAGACCACAGCGGAGCCAGCGTCATCTTGTAATGGCGACCATAGTCTGCAGAAACGGCAGAAGCGGCTCACCACACACGAGGGTTAGGAACAGGGATCCCGAGCTCTGTCTGAGGTCACAGTCAGCTACACCCCTGGCCCTTTTTTTTTGAGACAGGGTCCAGCTAAATCGCTGAGGCTGGCCTTCAACTCGGGATCCTCCTGCCTCAGCCTCCCAAGCTGCTGGGGTGACAGGCGTGGGCCCCTGCGCTCGGTGCCTTTGTACTGTCTCTGACTGTGGCTGCTGAGGCAGAAGCTCAGGTGACTTTCCGAGTGGGTGGTGTCCCGTGATCCTGACTTAGTCATTTATTTTCTTGGCCCCATCTAGCATTAGCTCTGCACCTTGCAGATGCTTCTGAGTCTCTCCTACCCAGCACTATGATCTGAAGTGACAGTGACGATGGCAGCAGCCTCCTTCCCGTCTTCATTCACTTCCTTCCGTATCTGGCTTCTTGAGCCCATCTGACCGCAGAGTTGTGCTGAGCAGAAAGGACAGCAAGGGACAGGCCTCCTGTCCTCGTCTGGTCCTCAGGACGAAGGCGTCGGTGCGTCACCCTGAGTGACGGTGTCGGCTGCGGGTGAGCACACGCGTGTGGTCAGCAGACATGCTCTATCTCATTAAGAAACTTCTGGAAGCCTTGATCCTGAAAGGTGTGAATTCCACCCACCTGTTTCCCTGTCGGCTGCTTTTGGCCCACGGTGGCACCTGCAGGTCCCCCAAGCGAGGAGGGTGGGTGGCTGGTCTCAGGCCAGATCTTCCCAGAGGGCACCCTGCAGGGAGCCCAGATGGACAGGTGCAGGGGGGACACGCCCTGGGCCCCAGCCAACCCCCGGCAGGGCCTGTTTCCTTCCAGAACCCAGCGAGCCAAGAGCAGGGGCTGCCCGGGCTGCTCTTGTGCCTGGGTCCCCTTCCAGAAGATTCTGGACAGATGAGGAGGCTGTGGCTTGGAGGCCGTCACAGGAGAGCCAGAGGGTTCCAGATTCTGGGTCCAAGTCCCACAGACACCTCAGGCCACTGGGCCAAAGCTGTGCCTCCAGAAAAGAGCCACGGTACGTGTGGTTTCTGCTGTGTCTGTTCAGCCCCACATCCCAGGGCAAGTCCCTGTTCCCGCCAGACCAGGGGACGTTGGGAACCTGAGTTACCAGTGACAGACGCCAGAGGAAAACCGCTTCAGCCTCCCAGGAGGGGATTTCTTGATCCACAGGTATAAAGAGTCTTCGGGGGGGGGGGGGGGAGAAATGCCTTCAGGTGCGGCGAGATCAAGGTGCTCAGACACCGTCCCCAAGAATGTGAGTTTCTCCAAATTCGGCTCCGCTTTCTCCTCTAGGGGGAAGGCACACTCTTCCTTTGGGGGGGCCAAGAAGTCTGGGATCACACCTCCCGCCTGAAGTGGGTGAGTCCAGGAGAAAGGCAGCAGCCCTTCCAATTGATGAGGTGAACCCTTAGGACGGAGGCTCTCAGGGGCCCAGGTCAATCCACACACCCAAATGGACACGCCACTGGCAACATACGGTCCAAGACGCTGGGGCTGGGGCTCAGGGGCAGAGCACTGGCCTGGCATGTGTGGGGCACTGGGCTGGATCCTCAGCACCACAGAAAAATAAGTAAGTAAATAAAGGTGTTGTGTCCCCCTATTTTTTAAAAAAAATGTGGGAACAGTAGATCCTGAGAAGGAAAATGGGCAGCTGCCAGTGTCATCCTAAAGGCAGATGATCTGGTTACTTCCTTGCATCTTATCAAAGTGATACTGCTCCCCAAACAAGCCAGAAGTCACAGTGACACACTCCACATCACAAGATGCTCCAGGGGGCGCAGGCATGGGGCGATCAGGGTGACAGAGAGCTGGGCAGCCAGTCTCCCTGGGGGGCTCTCGTTCCTGCCCCACCCACTTAGGACCTGGGTAGCTGCCAGATGGGGCTGGGCCTTGGTCGTTTGTCCCTTCATCTCCATTCCCACTTTTTGGGAACTGCACGGTTGGGGCTGCTTCTCTGGGTGCCTGCGCTGGCCACCAGATGGCGCTGTTGCATGGAGTCCAGTGTGGGGGGGCAGGGGGGTCCAGCCCCAGGGAGACTCCCCTGGGGAAGAGCACCCCACTTCCAGCCCCGGACCTCCACCCAGAGAGACTGGGCGGCCCTCCTCAGAGCCCCACGCCCTGGGGTGACTCGCTGCCCACCTGACAGTGGACACCTCACTGTCACCTACAGAGTGGTGGGGAAGGGGCCAGCACCCTGGACTGTGGCTCCTGAACCCCAGTATGCAGGTGGCTGGCGGGACCCAGGGGGCCTGAGGGGTGCCAGGACCCTGTTACCAAAGCGGATTTGGCAGGTGGTTAGAAAATAGTGTTTGTCCTCCCAACACATGGCCTCTGATGATTTGATCATTTAGAAGGAATTAAACAAAAAATTTAAATTTAAATTTAAAATGCAAAGGAAAACACAATGCAGGTGGTTCACAGACAAACCACTGTTTCCTCTGCAAATCTCTGGCTTCCAGCTGTTGATACAGATGCAAAGGTCTGATGGCTGGTCAGATCTAGGAACGAGTGCATTGTGTCTATTTGTTTTTAATATCTTTATTTGATTTGTTTTGAGCTGAGGATGGAACCCGGGCCTTGCACATGCTAGGTGACACTCTACACTGAGTCCCGCCCAGCCCAGGAGGGACAGGATTTGAAAACTTGAGTATTTAAAATGTCTCGTCTGGAAACAGATCCTGGGACCACAGCATCTGGATCCTGTTTCAGAACCAGCAAAGGAAATGCTCACTAGAGCCATCATGCGACTCTGCAGTTTCCTGAGAGCGGGAGGGCGGCATCTTGGGAGGTGACACCTTGGGGTCCTTGTCCCCAAGGCCGCGGTATGCAGAGGCCCCGCTGCCACCAATCCTAAGGCTCTAACAGAACCTGAGCGGTGGCCTCAAGGCCCCTCCCCGTGACCTCGCCCCGGGGTGCTCAGAGGGTCCTCTGGTCCTCACCGACTCCCCATCCGGCCTCCCTCCCAGCAGCCCCCTCTCCACACGAGCTGCCCTGGGGTCCAGCCACCATCCTGCGCCACCGTGGGCGGCTGAGGGGCCTCAGGACACATGTCCTCCCTCGGCTGTCACTCGGGCTGCCTTCGGGTCGCTGTGCGGTGCTGATGGGGAAGTTGAGGCCCTGGGGCCCGCCGTCCAGGACGGGACCTTGAGCGTCTGTCCTCCTGGAGCGTCCTTCAGACCACTGCCCACCCAGAGCCTCAGTCTGGCCCCCGGGATGGGGGTTCAGAGTGGACTGGGGAAGGCTCCCCCTCGCTCCTTCCTCATCTCCGCGTCCAGGTGTCGGTGAGCAGAGGACAGAGCCAGCTTCGGAGGCGGCCACAGGAGCAGAGCTTTCCTAACTCAGTCCAGGCGCCACCTCCTCCGGGAAGTCCTCCAGGACCACTCCCCCTACAGAGCGCATGCTCCAGGTGGCCCCCCACGTGCCTTCGGGCTGGACGCCCCAAACTTACTGGTCACCATCACCCTGGGCTGACTGTCACCCCCCACCAAGTCACCTGAATGTCTTCAAACCGGTGACCTGGGGTTTGCCCACTCCAGGGCCCAGAGAGGCCAGGTCAGGAGGCTGGGGACTGTAGTGAACCAGAGGATTCCCCAAGTGACTATTGGAAAAGGACCCTCCAGGACCCACCGAGCGGGCCCAGGGGCTGCCCCGGGAGCGAGATCCGTAGTGTCTGTCCACAGCTCCTAAGGCTCGGGGGTGTCACATAGCAAGAGAACACAGCGCGGCTCCCGGGGAGGCCGACTCGGGATCCCGGGTCCTTTTCCTCTGTGTGACCTCAGCTTCTCATTTAGGAAGTGGGGGGCTGCAGTGTCCCCAGTGTTAGGGAGACCGTGGAAGGACGGCGTGGCAGGGCAGCGACGCTCCACGCAGGTCAGCCCCTGGGACCGTGTGGCGTTCCTAGAGGCTCCTGCCAGCCGGCCGGGGGACAGCTCAAGGCTGCCCGGGCGGCTCATGCGCAGGACAGACAACTGGACTGGGATCGAGGCCGACGGACAGGGTTTACTCACAGACCTTCATGTGACTGGATCAGAGTCCTGCATGGCCACCAGGAGGGACCGCAGGCGAGGCCGAGGCGGGACAGGCTCCAGCCCCTCTCTGGCAGTCCCTGCCCCTCAGGCCCAGGCCAGGTTCCCCTCTGTCCCCAGCTCTGTCCCCAGCCCAGACTCAATGCGCTTTGGCCGGCTGAGAGGTCTGGGAGCCAGGCCCAGGGAGGACGGGAGACAGGGAGGGGAGCACCAGGTCCCACAGGGACCAGGACCCGCCCAGGGCGCTCAGGAGGCAGGGGGCCGAGGGGCTGGCACACTGGGCCAGGGTTTGCACACGACCGAGCACAGGCCTTCACAGATCAGCTCAACACAACCACGAAGGCCAACCCCGTGCCTGTACCCCGGGGGATCCCCTGGACCGGAGCCAGCTCCCTCTGGACAGCACTCCCACCAGGCGGGGCCTGTTACCCCATTTTACAGAGGAGCAAAAGCTGAGGCCCAGAGAGGTCAGGTAACTGCCCCAAGCCACACAGCCAGGAGCGGCAGAGTAACCCCAGAATCCTGGCCCCAGGACCACAGGCCCCAGGCGGGGCCCATCACCCAAGGAAGAGGCTGAGGGTGAAGAGCGTGGCCCCGGCTCCCTCCTCAGCTGGGATCTGCACCCAGGGCCAGGCCACTGCAGGGGCTGGGGGGACAGGAGCAGGACAGTGCTGTCCCATCCCGGCAGCAGGAGCCCAGCCCTCTCCTGGGGCGCCCCCGGCCCCCCGACACCCCCACCGCTGCCCCATCCAGAGTAGAGGGGCCTCAGACCTGGGAGCTGCTCTAATCCGATGGACCAGGCAGCACTGCCCAGAACTGAACGTGGCCCTGGTGACAGTCCCCGGAAGTGACCAGGAGGCTGCCTGGGGCGCGTTGGGAGGTGGGGCACCCCGGGACCTTATCTACAGGAATTCCAGAGGGAGTGGCATTCTTCAGCTCAGCCCTGCCCTAGGAGGCCCCCGGGCTCTTGGCCATCAGGTCTAGGGCCTGGTGGGGTCCACTGTGAGCGCGGGCTTCCCTTCCTGCAGGACTGGGCCTGAGGCTCTCCCCACCAGGGGGCTTCAGAGGCCCACAGCCGCCCACCCACGGGCTCCCAGGAAGTCACTTCCACACCCACGCGATCACCTGCCGCCATCTGATCCCAGAACGCCCCGGCAGGAAGGACTGCAGGTTCCAGCCACCTACAAAGTGCGGAAATCGCGGCTCGGCCAGGCGCAACCCCTCACTAAGTTGCTGAGGTGGTCACGAACTCCAATCCTCTTGCCGTGGCCTCAGGTCACTAGGATCATAGGCACGCACCACTGCGCCCAGCCAAATGTCAGTGTCTTGATAAAATCTCTGTCCCCAGGGTACTGTCCCTTTCCTTACTGGACTGGCTTAAGGATCTCCGAGTCAAAATAATGACTCCTCGGTTCCCCCACTGCCTCGGGTCCTGCTCCCAGCTTTACAAAAATCAACTCCGAGTTTTTGAGAGGTGATTATCGTTGCCTGATTGTCACTGGGTCCTGCCAAAATTCCTGTGTTGAAACCCTCTGTCCCTCAGGTGACGGTGACGGTATGGGCTTGGGGCCTGCAGAACAGTGAGCGGCGGGTTCCTGCTATCTATTAGCCACCAACTCTATGACACTTTGCCACAGCAGCAAGGGACAGTGACGGATGTTCACAGGGTAAAATTCTGAACTCTCCAAAAGCAAACCCACCTTCCAGGCTTCCCTTGTCACCTGTCTGTGCCCGTCTGCCACACCCCCAGGTCCTGGTCTCTCACAGGAATCACCTTGTCACCCACAGGATCGCTTCAGCATTCATCTGTCACACGGATGACATTCGACTCACTTTCTTCCTCTTGCTCTTTGTTTTTTACGGGGAAAAACAAATCTGGATTGTGCACCGCCGCTCCAGGCCATGGCTGCTTGTCACATCCTCATTCTGAAACCGTTTAAGACCCACAAGAAGTTGTGACCCTCTTGCGTAACCAGGGCGCACCGTCAGAGCCAGGGCGCACCGTCAGAGCCAGGGCGCTGACACGGCCCGACACAGACCTCCAGTCGATGTCCCTCGGAGTCCCCCGTCTCCACAGCACAGGGGTCTGGGCTGGCTGTTCTGGGGCGCACAGGTCTATAGGAGGTTGTCACCCGACCAGCTTTGTGACCCCTGAATGTAGAGCTGTTCGACTGCCCCCGGAAAGGACTTGGTGTCAACACCCAACCGCAGCCTCGCCCAGCCCTGGTCCCTGGCAACCGGGGATCATACAGACGTGGCTCTCCGTCACCGTGATTCTCATGTCACCTTGACACGTGTGGAAATGGAAGCGCACAGGAGGTGACCTTCTGATGCTGGCATTTTTTTCCCTCGGCAGGATTTCCCTGGGGTCAGTTCACACTGTGTTTATCAACAGCCCTTTTTTTCTTTTTTAGGCACCAGAGACTAAACTCAGGGCCACTGAGCCCCGTCCCCAGCCCTCTGCATTTTCTATTTGGAGACAGGGTCTCGCTGAGTGGCTCGGGGCCTCACCAAGTTGCTGAGGCTGGCCTCTAACTTGTGATCCTCCTGCCTC